GAGTACTTGCCATCATTGTTGTGTGTCCACAGCCACTTGTCTGGGCTTCCTGGTGAAATTCTCGTATCTTTGATCATGACGTTGAGCTCCTCTGCCCTGTCAGCTTCCCATTCGAACAGACTTCTTCTCCAGGCCAGGTCCCATTTCCACATTCCATCCTTTGTATTGCCCATTTGATTGCATTTCTTCTCCTTACCTGTTGATAAGATATACAGTCTCGGAAATCTATTAGCAAGACATCCCTCCCCGCACCAATTATCCCACCAGAAACTCACCTTAGTTCCCTCTCCTAGTTGTATCCTAAACCCCTCTGCTAGCCACCCTTCTCTGTCTCTTGCTATTGTGTCGAGACAACACACATCCCTCCACCATAATGAGCCTACACCTCTACCCTCTCTTACCCAATCCATCCAATTATCCCTCTGATTCCCGTATTTTCCTTTAATAAGTTCTCTCCATAAACCCTCATCATTTGATGCTAACCTTCCCCACCATTTACCCATCAATGCTAAATTAAACTTCCTCAATTCCTTCACCCCCAGCCCTCCTCTTTCTTTTTGTTCACATACCTTCTCCCAACTTACCCAATTAATTTTTTTCTTTTCACCCATTCCACCCCATAAAAAAGATCTACGAATTTTATCAATAGCAAGAAGTATACCTTTCGGGATTAGGTAAACCGACATCAAGAAGATGGGCAAGCTAGACAAGACTGAATTTATGAGCGTGATACGACCACCGAAAGAGAGATGCCGACCTTTCCAGCTTTCTAACTTTCTTTTAAAGGATTCCACCATTGGTTGCCACATGGTAATCCTTCTATGGTTCCCTCCGATCGGGATCCCCAAGTATTTAAATGGAAATCCTCCCTCTTTGCAGTACAATCTAAAGGCCATTCTCGCCCTCCACTCCTCCCCAACTCCAATTCCCATTAGCTGGCTTTTCCCAAAGTTGATTTTTAGCCCTGAGACAAGCTCAAAAATCCTCATGATGCATTTAATTGCCTGTATGTTCTCTTCAGTTGCCTCTCCAAAGAATATCATATCATCTACGAATTGTAAGTGAGAAACCGATACAGCTCCGTTTCCAACTATCACTCCTTTATACTGCTCTTTGACAACTGCAGATGACACAAGCCCGTTCAATCCTTCTGCCACAATCAAAAATAAAAATGGGGATAGTGGGTCCCCTTGTCGTAAGCCTTTGCTAACAGTGAATTGCTTTGTTGGGCTCCCGTTGACAAGCACTGATACCGTACTTGATCTTAGACACTCTTGTATCCACTTTCTCCAGGTTATGCTGAATCCCATTCTCATCAACATATAATCAATGAATTCCCAGCAGACTTTGTCATATGCTTTCTCGAAATCAACTTTAAACAGAAAGCTTTTCATCTTCTTCCTCTTTGCCTCGTCGATAATCTCATTTGCCACCACTGCTCCTTCTACTAATTGTCTACCTCCAATAAATGCCATCTGCTGCTCCCCGATAATCTTTGGCAGGACTTTGCGAAGCCGATTATCTAACAGCTTTGTGATGATCTTGTACATGACCCCAATTAACGATATGGGTCTATACTCTTCAATCTTTTGGGGATTGTCTACCTTTGGGATTAGGACAATGAAGGAGGCATTTGACCCACGGACAAGTTTGCCATTTCTATGAAACTCTTGTACAAAGCCCACAACATCTGCTTTTATGTCTTCCCACATGGCCTTGACAAATCTGAAATTAAATCCATCTGGACCCGGAGATTTCGAAGAATCACAGTCCCAAACAGCCTCCTTAATTTCATCTTCAGAGAATTCAGCCATAAGAAGTTCACTATCTGTACTGGATATTTGTTTAAAATCAATGCCCTCCAGTTTCGGTCTTTTCCATTGCTCCCCTGTAAACAACTCTTCAAAATACTTGGCCACCTCCTCTTTAATTTCCGCCACCACAGTGTGTTGTTTGTCATTGATCTGTATGCTATTTATTTCGTTTCTCCTCCATCTTCCCTTCACACATCTATGAAAAAACTTTGTGTTTGCATCCCCTTCTTTTAGCCACGCCATTCTTGACTTTTGTTGCCACATGCTGTCTTTAATTTTGAGATGCTTCCATAACTCAATAAAGCATTTTCTCCTCTTTTCAATGTCAATTGCAGACAATTGGTCTTTCTCACCTTTTTCATCTAGTAATGCAATCTCCTTCTCAGCCTCATTAATTTTACTATCCACTTTTGTTGTAGAATTGTCATTCCACTCCTTTAAGGCATTCTTGGTTCTCTTCAATTTCTCCTTGAACCTATAGCCTTTCCAACCTTTTTCGTCGCTGGAATTCCATGCTTTTTTAATGACCTCTATGCATCCCGGTTGTTCTAACCATGCATCAAAAAATTTGAAGGGTTTAGGGCCCCAATCAACCATCTCATTCTTTAAAATGATGGGGCAGTGATCTGACACTGTTCTTCTCAACCCCCATTGCTTCACATCACTCCAATTCAAAATCCAGTCTTCTGACAGCAAGAATCTATCTATCCTGCTCATTTGTTGACCATTGGCATTATACCAGGTATACTTTCTGCCTACTAATGGTAAGTCTACCAATCCAGCTTCGCAAATAAAGCAATCAAAGTCCCTCATTTCCCTGGAAAACCCTTTACACCCTGCCCTTTGTTTTGTGTTCCTCACTGCATTGAAATCACCCATCAAGCACCAATTGCCTCTGCAGGTAGTGATCATCATCTGTAATTCTTCCCATAAGGCTCTTTTATCCGTCAAGAGGCAAGAAGAATATATGTTCAAAATATACACTGGTGTTTCTTCCTCACCCCATAACCCATACACACCAATGTAATTTCTCCCTTCCAGGACATTCTTTTTTTTGAACACTTTTGAGCTCCATATACACAGTAATCCTCCGGACAGCCCCTCTGATGGTTTCATGATCCAATCGTACTCATCAGTCCCCCATATTTTCCTACATACTTTTCTATCTACTACCTCCATCTTAGTTTCTTGCAAAGCTAAAAATTGAATCCTCTCCTTCCTCACAATATCCCTAATCTGTCTTTTTTTCCCACCCCCTCCTAGCCCTCTTATATTAAATGACATTAGAAACATGAGAGTTGTTATTTACCCTCTTCTCATCTCCGGCATCCTTCATCACCATTTTTTCTTTTGCTCGTCTGTCTCTGTCTTCCATCTCCTCTATTTTCTGTATTACCTCCTCTTCATTCTCCGCTACCACACCTAACTGCTTGGCGAAATCCCATATTTCCTAAGCTATATGCTATCGCATCTGCCCCTTCCATATCCTATTGCAATTCTGTATTCCACTGTCACCCACTGACCCACCGACGGCTTCCTCATTAGAATAGAGTGTGTCTTCTGATGCTGTCTTTCCTCCTGTTTTTTTCTTTCTCTGTTTTCCTCGCCCCTTCCTTCTTTGTGCGTCCTCACCTATTGCTCTTGCTGATAAATACACCGCCTTACAAGATCTGATTCTCCTCTTTTTCTTCTTCGGGATCCCCTCATTCTTCCTACCCATCCATTCTTTTAACCTCCCCTCTTCACTTTCGAACCCTTTCCAGAATGGGTCTTCCCCTTCTCTCTCGTCATTTTCGCTTGCACTCCCTCTGTTTCTATAATCTTCCTCATTTGTAACTGATTTTGTGTTCCCCGATCTGCTTACTTGAGCCAAGGCCATATTTGTGGACTCCTCCATTGTTGGGCTGATGTCCGAATTTGCTTTGGGCTCTCTACTGGGCTTTTCTTTGGTCTGTTCTCTAAAGCCCAATTGCTTCCTACTTTCTTCCTCAAAACCAGCTGACTTATGGCATTCCCCATGCCTCTGCATCTGCATCGTTCCTACTGCCTCTTCTCTGCCTTCCCCATCAATCAAAATTTGAATTTCTTCTAGGCTGTCACCTACAACTTCAATGGATTTTTCTTCCTTTTCCTCAGCTTGTGACCGAAGCCTCTTCTTTGTCTCTTGTGTGAAGCTTGCCACGTCATCATCTTCAACCTCTGTCCCCGGAGACCTCATCTCACCCTTTCCAACATCCCCTGCATTTTCGAACTCCTGTTCCTCTATGTCACTATCCATGGACCATGATTCATGCTCCTCTGATTCACTTTGGAACGTAGGCATAAAATCTTGTTTCAGTGAGAAGAAGCTGTTAGTGAACTCTTCTTCTGTAAATTTGATGTTGTAAATGATCCCGTTAACTTTAACTTGCCGCATCACTGATATTGTATTCATGATGGGAGTGGATATCAAGAACCTGGCTATGTCAAACCTCTTTCTTTTACTTGTGCTGTCATCCAAACATATAAATTTTCCCCATGCACAGCCCATGGTAGCAAAGAAATCCGGTTCCCAGGCATTTAATGGAACCCCTTGACATCTCATCCAGACAAACCTCTCCTTGCTCACCATATCTGGTGTCCAAGGTCGCACTTCCTCGAACCATTGTCCGAGCCAATTTGCTCCCAACTCCACCAGGTCTTTTAGTTCTTCCTTGTCTTCACAATCTAAGAGAACCAATTTACCGCCCATTGCTCGAATTCGGCAAGAAAAGTACCCCTCCATGTAGAATTTTTCCTGAAGATTCCGGACCATTTCCACAGAGTGTGCCGTTCCTACATAACAGCCATCGAGCCAAGAGTAATCCTCAGATTTTACAATGTACTCTATTCCCACCCAGTCCTCCCTCTTTCCTATCTGTTGCCATATTTTTCTATTCCCTTCTGAGCGGTTTCCTGGTCTTGATCTGCTTCTACTTCTTCCTCTTCCCCTACTTTGCTCTTCGTTGCTCTGAAACTTCCTCTCTTCATACACTCTGTTTTTTCCCTGGCCACTCACCACTTCTGCATAGCTTCTATACTGTGTTCTTGTCTCCAGTACTTGCTTGTTTCTTTTCTCCCCTTTTTCATTCATCTCTTCATTGTATCTTGGTATGTTGACCCATAATTTGCGTCCACCAATCCAGATCTGATCTAAGTGCCTTTCCAGCTCCTTTTTATTCTTCACATCAAGAAATCTTACGAATCCGAACCTGCTGTCATTTCTACTTTTCCTGTTAGGACTGTAGATGTCATAGACTCTCCCAAATGCCAGGAAAGTTCTCCACATATCTGCATAACTCCAATCCTCTGGAAAGTTTGTGAAAAAGTATGGGGTGGCTTGTTTGTACAAGCCTCTGTTATACGATTCCCTTTGCTGCACTTTTTGAAACAGGTTCCGATTATAAGATTCCCTTTTCTGCTCTTCTTGGCACTGTCCCTGGTTATACTGCATTTGCCTCTGACTTCCTATATGGTTGTACTGCATATGCCCCTGGCTTCTTGCTTCAACCCCCCTCTGTTGGCTTCTTCCCCGTGATCTTGCGTGCTCTCTGTTCAGTATCGTCTGTCTTGCCCGTGATCGACGTCCGCCACCTGCTCCTCTCTCTCTCTCTCTCTACCTCTCTCTCTCACTCTTATGGTTTAAGTTAAAAAAAATACTAACTTTAATAATGATAGAAGTTGTTACCGCATCTGTAGCACATATCATTTATGTAATTGATAATAATTTTAAATTATAATATATTAAAATAACTTTTTAAAAAATCTCAATTTTATCTTAAATCACCTGTCACCAATTGCATAAAACTTACATGGATTGGAAAGATAGTGTTAAAAAGTGGGGTCCACTCATCGCAATTATTGACTTTGGAGTCCATCTTGTTGGCTGATGTGGAATGACTTTGGCACTCATCTTGTTGATGTAGAATAATGTGGTGCCACTTGACAACAATTTATCTAAAATATATTAATATATTACAAAAGTAGCACACTTAACAGCCAAGAAGACACTGTTAATAAAAGTTAGTAACAGTGTGAGGGTAGGGAGGACAATGTTATGGAGATTTGTGTGGAACTTCAAGTGATTTTGATAATAACAAAATTTTTTAAGATGTTTAATGAATTTAAACTTAAGTTTGCAATTGAAAAATCCCAAAGTGTTTTAAGAAAAAATATGGAAAATTGCAAAACTAGATTGTAGTCCTGAAGCAAGAAGACTTGATTCTTGCTTGTAAATTTGACTCTAGAGCAAAATTAGAAAAAAAAAAGGTTTAACCCAAGAAAGAGTCGAATCTTAGAAGTTATATTCAACTCTTTGACCCTCTAGATTCGACTCTCAGAGATGAAGAGTCGACTACTACCAATTCTAAAGAGTTTAGAAAGATTTGAGGTGCAGGGCATATTTGATTCTTTATTTTAAGAATTGACTTTTAAAGGTCAATATTCAACTCTCATTTTCAAGATTTAACTCTTGGCCTAAAAGAGAGAAAATTGGCTAAGTCCCAGAATTTCTTAGAGAACTAACTTTCAAAATGAAGATTCAAATCTAGACTTTATAAATTTGACTCTTGGATCTTAAATTTGGCTCTTAACTATATAGTAACAACTAGTTTTTCAAATTTGACAAGCCTACTGAGCATTTAATGCATTCTAACAGTCCAAAACAGCTAATTTCGACTATAGGAAGATAAATAGAGTTGGTGGGAGTATTGAAGAGCATCTTAGATACTTTCATTGAATATCTTCACTTACCAACTAGAAATTCTTGTGCTTTGACTTGTAAAATTGATCTTTGAGTGATCTTTATGTGATCTTGATTTGTAATCCTCTACTTACTTTCTTTGTGAGATATCTTGGGGTGTGATTATTTCCTTCAATAGTGATTTGTAGTAATGATTGTTGGGTTTGCTTTGTAAATGGGAGTGATTTGTGAGAAAACCCATTTCTTGTAAAAGGATTGAGTGGCTCCTTTAAGCCACCCTTGTTCATTCTAGTAGAGAGTGTTGAGGAAATTCTTGGTGAGTGAAACCAAGATAAATAATTAAGTGCCAAGTAGTTGGATCAAACCTCTATAAAATCTTTTTGTAAGCTTCTTATTTCTTCTCTCTTTGTTTTTTACTTTGTGGTTGCAAAAGGAAGGAAAATCTTGAAACTCCAATTCACCCCCCTCTTGAAGCGTATTGAACCAACAACTTGGAGTATAGGGATGGCAATAGTATGATTTGGGAAAGTAGAGGGAGGACTTTGAATAATTTATAAGTACAAGGAGAACAATGAACAAAAATCCAAAGTAGAGGGACTATAAAAAGGCTCTCTATATCACTACCCATGTAAATAATTCTAAACTATCTTTATAGATAATTTGATTATAAAGATAATAATATCCTTTGTATTCCTTTAATAAAATTTACTGTTTTTAAAAAAATCTTCATAGATAATTTTAAATAATATATTAATATATGAGAATATTATTTTTCCATCTTACCTCTCAAAAATTAAAAAGAAAATTACTCCAAAACTATATTATTTTAATAAATTCACAATAAAAAAGATTAAAATATTATATTTTTAAAGTATGAATTAAAATGCTTTTAATTTATTCTCATGATATTTTATTGAAACAATATAGTTTTAAAATAATTTTTTTCATAATTTTTAAGAACTAAGATGAATAAATACCAATCGCTTTATATGGTAGTATATGATTGATAATTAATATTTGTTTACTTTAAAAATTAAAAATGATAATTAATTTAGAATAAATTTAAAATAAAAATAAAAAATTATTTTAT